GGGGCGACGAGGGGCGACGAGGGGCGACGAGGGGCGACGAGGGGCGACGAGGGGCGACGAGGGGCGACTGCCAATGTGTCCAGGTACGACGAGAGGTGCGAGGGACATCGAGCGATTGGAAAGGACGACGATCGACGTTGAGAGATGATGAATAGAAATAAAGAGCTACAAGGATGACGAGACTCCCCGAGAAGCCAAGCGCGACGTGAGCTGACGACAGGCAGCGCGAGGAGACGAGGGAATGTCGAGATGCTGCGCCGAAACATTGTACGGCGAAGCGGCGCGTGTGAGGTCGAGAGGAAGCGGCGTCGTAGAGGTGGTAACGAGGAAGAACAGAGACACAAGACGCTCGAGGCCAAGCCTCGTTCCCGCACATTTACGCTACACGCAATTGGAAATATTACGAAGTTTCTAAGGACCAGCCGGGCGAAGAGGCCGGGTCCGCCCGCGGAGAGGAGAGACGAAGTGTGGCGAGGAGTGGCGAAGCGGGGGTGGGAGCGGCACAGGCAGAAGGCACGGCGACTCGCGGAAGCTGCGGGGAGGGGATTTGGGAGTTTCCGCGGAATCTGCAATGCAAATGGGCTTCAGGGCTTCATCAGCGAACGCCGCCCGGTGGCGCGAAACCGCGGGCAGAGCGACCCACTCACCCCCTTTGCGCCCCTCACTCCCCGCACCCCATGCCGCTTCCCCTGCTGACGTCATGCGGAAGCCGGCTTCACGTGCGCATTCCATCTTCCACAGAATCCCCTGCCCTTATTTTATGGGGCGCAAGGTGAGCTTCAACTTCGGAGCTCTTTTCCGCCTTTGAGATGTTATATTTACGAAGGGCGTAAGTTAGGATGGCTTGCAGTTGGATCTTCGTTGTTGGTGGCTTGCGGCATATTGAGTTCCCAAGTTTGGGCCTGAATTTTTCCGCACTTCCTCTGATCTTCCTGATGGCGTGTTCTTCAAGAGAAGTCGCTTGATCCGAGACATTGATGCTGGTTTCCCTTTTTACTTCAACAAAATTACGGGCGTGTTTATGCGTATGCGTAAATGTGTTTTAAATGTAAACTATGATATGTACAAGCTAGAAAGGGCACATGCTTTCCAAACGAAATAATTGCTCGTTAAATAAGGTAGCAATTCTGTACTTGAAATTCCTTTGAAAGCATAATTATTAACCTTTTCATAACGTCGAATAAAGCTTATTCTGGCTAGGAGCATAATGAAATTTCATGAAACTGATAAATGGAAGAATGTTTTGTGTATTTTATCAGAAGAATCTCTTTTCTCGTAAGTAGAAACTATTGTTTTCCTTCTTAAATGACTCATGAAATAACTAGTTGTGCTTGTAGTATATCACGTACTCTCTCGTATTATTCGTAATTGTTGCGTAATATTATAATACTTGTTAAATCCGTAAGAAAAATGCGCAGAAATAATCTCATTTGCGTACACTATTGCGTCCAACTACGTCTTACTCCGCTTAGAGTTATCCCCATTAACTCATCATATACTTCTACGAATATTTTCAACTCATAATAATATTTGCTCTGCATGACAATTGAACGTGACTGCGTAAGTACCGTGATTAACGTTTATTCCTTAAACTGACCATGAATATAAACGGCCATGACAGAACAAAAACAAAGTTAAAAAAACTTCCGATATTCCAAAAGTTTGGATGAAAATCATATTTATGTCATATTATGAAACAAATTTTCCTCCATTCAAGCAAGAAATTTACAACCTGTTTGAGAAAATCAGGTAGAGGAAAAACTTTGTAGGAAATTTTGAGAATGTCTTTTGTACTGGGAGGTGCACTCTGAGAATACTCTTTGTACTGGGAACTCCAAGTACTTCAGATATGAAGTGAACTGTTTCAAAGAAGGTTCATGCGGCGTCAGACAGATCTACCGGGGAATGTCCATTTTGGTAAAAATCTGTGTTTCTGTACGGTTTGAGGTGCTAGTGTTTATTCTTAAATTATTTAACGATTTAACATGAAAAACAGTAAAATATGTGTGTTACGTACTGTGACGAAACGGGGAAGCGGTACTTTCACGACAATAAAATTATGCAAGGGTTGGGTGTTCGGCACTTTCCACTATTATGTTGTTCCAATGCGGGATCACGACACTAGCCCACCGGCCACGCGATTTACGATCTTATTTGTCTTTCTCAATTATGATGCGTAATTTCACTTCCGCTAATCATTTAACTATCAATCCTTGGCGCACTTGATTCTACACTCGGCGGCCTCACTTATTCCAAACTGTATTGAATAATTGCGGATAATCTCTTGGGCGCATCACAGCCCCGTCCGTACTTCACCGAATGCCTCTCCGCACTGCACTAACCGTCGCTCGCCTCGCCGGTTCCCCCGATTTGACCGTTCGTGGCGGCGGCGGCGGCGGCGTTACTGCGCTGATCAACTCAAATGTTTTGTTTTAATTTAGAATTTGTGATCTTTTTAATCGTTCTTATTATAGGAACGTTCTTCGTTTCAGTACTTGGTGGAGAAATGTATGGACGATCTGCGGATGTTTTTTACATATGGACGGACAGACATTTGAAGAAAAATAACTTTTGTTGCAACAATAAGCACTAAAACAAATACACCACGTACAGAATGCCAATATATTATGTATCCAAGAAAGAAAGAAACACTTTTGGTTATCAGACACCTACAAAACGTGTTTTTCTGTCATAATGTTATAGATATTCTTTATTCAAGAGTTTATTAAGAAAGTATAAAATAATTTTCATTTACATCGAGATAATAATTCTCATGAGCATGGAGAGCCGAATATAAATCTAGTTCATATGTGTTCATATGTACATTGTATTTATAGAAAACTTAAGTTGGTTACTATCGTAGTTATTTATGTAGATCTTGAATTTTTTTAGTAATTCTGGAACAAGAATCATCATTTAACATGCTAATATCTCAGATAGAAAAATTAAATATTTAATGTTGTTTTACTGCAAAACTTTATCTTCTGGGACAAGTAACGTGTTTTGTTTACTTGTTACCATGACGATGTTACTGAATTCGTAGGATTAACTTCGAAGCTGATTTCTGAAAATCGCATTAACACATTTGTTCCATTATCATTTAAATTACAAAAGTTTTAATCTTCTTTTTGTAGGAGGACAATTATAAAATAAAGAATATGTAGCCAAAATGAGTTCAATAAGTTTCATTCTTCTAGATTTTTTAATAAAAGTACATGAAAGAGGTGTAAATATTTTGACTTTTCTTTCAAATTTGCTGTAAATTACAAAAACTATTCAAAGGATGAAAACCTGCTCATATCTACAGAACACATTTCCACCAAGTTGCTCTTAAAATTTTACACCACTAGGTTGAATAATTTCTGAAACATTTGGCCACATTTTCAGCTAAATTACTAGAGGATAAGATATCTCCCCTTAAACCTTTTCTAAATCATCGTAATATATAAATATAGTTTCTGTTACTTTTCGTGACGTACAGTGTTCTACTGACAATTTTATGTACTGGATTTGCAGACCGCGTTGTCATCGAAAAATTGACTTCTTTGTTTGTAATACATGGATATTTGAAGAATGATCCATTGGCCCACCCTAGGTGAAATTGCAGCGAAGTTTCTAGATGACATCCCCCAAACTCCCGCTGTTACTAAAAAATGTTGACTTCCATATTAGCCACCAGCATGCGTCACAGTAACGGATTCAGTAATATATCCATTACTTGAGCGGCTGTCCAGAAAAATGAATATGAGATTTGACTGCGGCGGGAATTGTCGGAGAATTTAATTTTGCCAGACATTTTGCCAGGGTTCTTTTACGTAACGCAATTATGACATGGCCGCTCTGGATTGTCCACACTTCGACAATCCATGCTTTTCAGGCGAGATAGAACGCATCCGATGGATTAAAAAGATAGAAACCTTAACTCTCAAACACGAGGTGGGCAGATAAAGGAGATAGTAATAATATATTTTTCTGTGTTTTTACTTTATTAGAGGCACTTTAATGATTCGGAATACGACGCTAATGTCAGCAAAAAATCATATTTAACTTTCGTCTGTAAAGTGTAAGGTTTTGCAGTGAAATGCTTAGTAAATATGTCAAAACAAAATGTTGAAGGCAAGATAAGTGTCTTTAAATTAAAATGTTTAATATTTGTTTAAAAAATATAGAACCTAAATTTAGGCAGTTGAAAGCGTGACTTACCAGATGTGTAGTATCGGCGTTAATTCATCAAAAATATGAAAACGGATGAAACATTCAAATAATATTACTCTATTAAAAATAATTATTACTAATTAAAAATAATTTGTTTCTCAGTATAATGAGAAGCAACGAATCAAATACACGGTGGTATGTTAAAAAAATCGCACTTATAAACCGATTCCTCGTTTTTGATATTTTTTTAGAAATAAGGATATCAGAGCTGTTTCATTATGTGATAATGGTATTAAATTCGTTATGTGCTAACTAATAAGCTAACAATATGTGCTGAGGAGGCCAACTGGAAGGAGACGGCGGGACGCCCACGCCAGAAAATAAATCGTTAATATAAACGTCGGATAGATTAGTATGTATTCGGCTTCTGAGTGCAGGTTTTTCCCCATTCAGGGGTTTTTTCCTGAGCCGTACCTTATGGTCTCTTTTCCGCGGCTTTAATGCGATGGAGAGACCATTTGGGGTCATTTGGGGTGAAAACCAGAATTCCAAAGATTAGAACGCGAAAGGCTTGTAAAGGCTTGTAATGGCTTAAAGGCCTTCGGCCTAGCCACATAGGACCAAGTAATCAAATTTGTTTGTAATAATTACCTATTAAATAAATAAATAATAAAATAATTAAATTCGTTGAAACAATTGCAATCGGAAAATGCTTGATTACATATCCTCAACTTAAGAGACAAAAAAGTCAAGTAACTAAAAGAAAATAACTTGAAATGGCATTTGACATAAAAACATAGTAATTAATTGAAAATTTGTGTACATTTTGTTTGAAATGTGTTGGTAGAATCTCCAGTACGTGAAACGCATACCTTGTGTCTTTTTCGCAAAACACTAAAAGCAAAACTAAGTAGTTTTTATATTATTATTTATAAAAATAAATGCGTGTGTTGTTCGGGTGAATGCAAAACATGGTAAAGAAATGTAACTATACAACTTCACCATACATCCCATCGTATACATACCATATATCCCATCGTATCCGCTCGTTCAGTGAGTTATTATAAATCTAAAACAACTCAATATTTCCACACCAGTTTTGTTTTGTGAGTTCCATGCACAACATATAGTCTATTAAAAAATATATGCCGCAAACCGATTATGAACCGCGGCAAACCGTTTATTTGTATCGTTAAATATCTACATATCGAAACAGTTGTAGAACAGAAATATCATTATATTAATTTTTTTCTTAAAGGGTTTACATAAAATACACAGCCTCCAAAGAAAATCAGGGTTGTATGAGAACTACACTCTCTTTGCCTGCGGTTCACCAAACATAACTTACAAGCAGCTGTGTGTATGTGGTAAGCAGGCTACTACAATGCACAGCTCAAACGGGTTATTCTTTTTTATAAATAAATATACTTTTCTCTTTACGCTTCATGGCCTTTTGCGCAGGGAATGTTAAGTAAAAGCGCATACAAAAACGGCATAACATCCCCTCAAATGGGTAGTAAAGGAAAACGTGATGGGGCGCGTTGATCCCCCGGAGCGGGCGCGGGAGCGGCCGCGGGCAGCGGCAATAACGAAGGCTTAGCAACACTCTTGCCGTTGCCCCCCGCGCCACTCCATCTGCTCTATGGAAACAGCACTCCACTCGGCCAGAAGTTAATTGCTACGTCGCAGCGAGGAGGGGCCCGTGGAGCAATATGGAGCATTTGCTCACCATTTGCAACATTGAAACGCGCTGACATCCCGGCGCAAAAGCTCGCCGCTTCGGGTTCCGCGAAGCCAAGTGAGATTCGCCAAAGCGAACGCACAAGTCAAGACCACTCGTGGCCGTCACAGAAGTCGGCAATTATGATATCGGTCTTGAGAGATACCGGTTGCGCGGTTGACCGTTCCTGGAATTTTGAATGGCATTAAATTTTGTGTAAGAGAGATCAGTTTTCTGGCGGTTTATCATGATCATCATTACCATTATCAGTACCATCATTTTCATCATTAGCTACATCATTGTCGCCATCATTATTTTCATCATTATCATGATTAAAAATCCGTACACTCGAATTCCCGATCTCTCTTGCCAATTTGTGTTCGCTGGTAGGAAATATTCCAAAAGTTTGCTTTGATGTTTGTCTTTCTGTCTGTCGCGTCCATTATCACTTTGATGTACTGTTCATGAATGCAGAAGCACACGACACTGTAGTTTTTTTAAGAATTGCGATCTCGACAACAGCTTTGATCGGTGAATTGAAGCCGAGAATGATGTGACGAAGAACCAAGGAGGACCTTGTTCACAAAGAAGTCTCATGAGAAATACACTTGCAACTTCATTTTACAAAGCTCCAATATCGTGCTCTCAAACGACCCCGGGCTCTTTTCATGTGCATGAAGTTCGTATTTCCTGCGCAGTTCAGTAATAACCTGGTAACACGATAAAACGCAAAACAAGTTCGTTCACTTCTAAATGAACGAAACATCTCTACTTCGCAACAAAACCTTAATTAAAGGTGCGGTTCTGGTACATTTTATGAAAAAACATTATTCAAATAATTGTCTTGCGGATATATAAAGAGCTTCATGAAAGACATTTCGTTCATATTTGAGAACTCGTTTGTATTATACGAAGAATAAAAATTGTAAAAAATGTTTGTTGTTGGCCACATTATACTTAATACTGAACGTTATCCAATTTCATTTTTAAAGATACATTTGCAATTTATTAGGCATATTATGTCAAAGGTATGAAAGTAATGTAAAATATTTTGGTAACAATTGCTCATATATATTCCATACACATGAGTTTCAATTGACTCGTCCTTTACACGTTGTGAATTTCGTTATATTGGGAACTGATAGTAAAATAAAAATTGTATACGATTTGCAGAAAAAACTATAAGTTTTTTCAAATCATGAAACTCATAAAATTCAATATTAATACTAATCTTCAGAGAAACGTTGCACTGTGGTACTTAAACCATGTCCCAAAGAATACATCCCCTTTAACCACTGTAGTTTACAACATCGTATTCTGAGGTATCGCGCGATGGCATAAGAATGGCCCAGGAGAAAATAATTGTACAGGTTTGATATGTAATAATGTTACCATAAACAATTTAGAAATTAAGATTTATATATTGATAATATTAAAAACAAAATAAACAAATAACCTGGGAATGCGCGAATTGCGAGTCCATTTTGACAACCACCTAAAGCATATGGATCAGAGCTGGACACAAAACCACTCAATTCCGTTAGTTCTCCGCGACGAGACCAGATCATCGAGATCGCAATTTTGGAGAATGCTAATTCCGGCACTGCCATTATCGAGAACGAACGATACCGGTTAAAATACATTGCGCCTTCGATACGCATTTCTAAGCTCATCTCTTTAAGCAAATAGTAAGCCTGTTATCAGGGTGCGTCCTGGGGAGGACTAAGGTGGGAAGGTTAAAAGACAACGATGGACAACGAAGACAGGTGGCGCCACTGAATATCGCAGCATCATTTATCGCACAAGCATTTCAATTCAGCATCTTAAACGTAATATTTATTTCACTTGCACAGGTGAGGTAACCGATCTAACAGAACAAACAAGTAGAGTCCTTTCTATGATGAATATTAAATTAAAATTCGATTGAAAAAGGCATGTTGCAATCCTCTGCTAAGTAGTGCAATTAAAATTGCGCAAGCACGGAAGGGATTTTTTTAAAATTCAGTTCAAAATTATTGTTTATTGTCAATATTAATTAAAATTATCCAGTGAACTATTTTCTTTGTAAGAGAGCTTATGTTTCTCACAAGCGGCACATAACGAAACTAAACGGTGCCAATCGTTTTGATCATTTACAGGGCTGTAGATTTCACATTAGATAAGGAGCGCGTTCTCTTTTCGAGACTGTGAAATTAAAGCATCGAGAACAATCGATAACAGAATGCGTAGATTCCTGCTGTAATGTGGATATATGGAATACGTGTGGAGCGCGAACATTTAAGTACAAATAATTTAGTAGATATTTTGCTAGGAAAATGAGTTCAGATAAGCTATATATCTATTTTGGATAAAAAATGATCGGATTTTTTGCGTTAGCTACTCCGAAGGAAAATTTATGTTAATTTGGGAGGAATAGGGTCGAAATCTCCTCTTCATTCACTTGGAAATGGTAGAGTAAATTTTGTAAAATTAAGCATATCAAATTGTCGATTTTTTCGCTAAGTTAACAACTCAGGCACCTTAGTGCGCACAGATATTTAAATCACCTACCTTTGTTCAACACATTCCATAACACGGTTTTTTTACACATTTTTTTACCACGTGTTTAAGAAATTGCTGTGTGACAAAAAATATTCGGGAGGGGCACACCAAAATCTAACTATGACCTATTAGGGTTGGTGCTTGTATGTAACATTTTAGATTTAATTTCTTCCCCCTCTTGGCGGGCAGATCCAGTGTCGACCTACTGTGAGATTATCATCAATCAGATATTTCCTACCAACGAGTCACCTCCTTGATAGGACAAGCTCTAAACTCCCAAATGGTTTCCTGTGTCGTAGTAGTGCATGCAAGTGGTGTGTGTGTGTGGGGGGGGGGTAAGGTTAGGACAAGGAAAAGGAAGAAATGATCGCGCGCGGTCTGCGGCCCGTTATTTATATTACTGCTCCGCCATTCGCCTAGCGTTGAGCGGAGAAACTATGGAAACAACCCATCAGAATAGCCGGTCGCTAGAATTCTCTTCCAGACAGCGGTAGAATTCAACCTATACCTATGTAGCATGTCGAGTAACCTACCACCGACAGGACACTAAGAATGTCGGAGGCATTGCAGCTACATCAGTTTACTGAGCCACCTAAACCAGTAGGTATTTAGAGCATTCGGTTCTTTTGTTTCATGATCGCACGATAATCTTCCGAATCGACGACCCCAACCTCCGTGTCCTTCTTGGAACGTCCCAGCACGCAATCGTTATTCCGTCGGGCGGGAACACTCTGACGCACGTTTTAGCGCTCGTTAACCAGCGGCCGAGTTTGAAAGTTGGAATCGCGCAGCACGTTCGCCGCCGGCACTCGCCCTCTCCGCCCTTCGCTACCCGCACCAATCCTCCCATCCCCGCTCCGGCCCGCTCC